TTTATATAAAAATAAAAAAAGATTAACATTATTTTTGAAATAAAAAAATTTCCGATACAAATGATAACGGAGACAAATTTATAAGCAATTTATATAATAAAATCTAACAATTGACTTATTTTTGATGAATTTTATTATTTTATTAATATACGTTAACCCGTTTTTCAACGTTTCAAACCCGTTAGTCAAAAAATCACTTCTGTAAATCTTTACAGAAGTGATTTTTTGACTAAAACTTCAATAGTTTCCTTCCAAGTAGTAGATATTTTAAAATAAATTCAAAAATTTGATAAATTTTAGCTTCCAATTATTAAATTCAAACCAAAAATATGCATAAGTAAACATCGAATGACTCGAACTAATCAACCTTCAAAAACACTTCTATTCTTATTTTAATGTTTATTGAAGTAAAAGAAAACTATTTTTAGTTACATAAATTTAATATAACAATTTTTTACAGAAAGTAAGTCTTTATATAGTTTTAATGGTTAAAATTCGCATATAATTCACTTACCTTAATAAGCAAACCAATCACCAACAGAAGTATAACATGATTTGTATAGATAATTTATTTAAATTATTGATAGACATTTGAGATATAAGAATTGTTTATGATAAATATTCATTATTTTTCAAAAATAAGATGATAAAATAAACTGTATTAACGCTTAATCGTTATAATTGAAATATTTATTGTGATATCTTTTATCGCGAATTACATTATTTTACACTACATTATATACATATTGTATATTTATCATTAAATTATTATAAAAACATTATAAATTTCCGATAAACTTATAAATGTATAAATTTTAATTATTTTTTATCTACATATATGTTATTTTTAGAGATAAGATGTATCATGTGCGCCAGAAAAAATTTGCGAAGTTGTTCAGGAGTTGGTCTACTACTCTGGAGACTCCAAGATTTAATCCCCAGAAATTTTATTAAGGATGGGTCCGTCCGGAGCGTTAGATCCTTGTTCCTCACCTCCAGGTCTCCTCTGTTGTGGTTATGACTTAACCTGCAAAACTTTAAAGGCCTTACTTAGTGTCCACAGGTTAGAAATAATTTAAAAAAAGAAAAAAAACAAAACAAAATGTACACAGTAGAGCATCGATTATCCGACTCAATTGGGGATTGGGGTTGGTCGGATAACCGAAAAGTATGAAAAAAATCCATTATTAGTGTAGTATATTATTATATCCCATGTAATTAGTATATTAGTATATCGCTATTAACCTACTTCGCGTTGAATTTTCATCGACGTTAAGCCTAATAGAAATTTTTTAAAATAATAATCGTCGCTATTGTATCGTTAAAAATTAGAAAATTAAGCCTCGTTTAAATACTGGCCCCCTTTCATGGTCGAATGAGTGTTGCCAGCTAAAACACGTAAAAATAATATTAAAGTAGCCAAGACATAGCCAAATATTGTAGCGCCACATCACTAGCGGAGATTTGAAATTTGCGGACTAGGACGGTCGGTTAACCGATGTGACGGTTAATCGGGGGTCGGATAATTGATGCTCTACTGTATTTACATAGACGAGATACGGACTTAATACAGTTTTGCAAATTTTACTTGGATAAACAACACGTACAGAAATACTTAGCTATTTTCAGAAAAATTCGGTTTATTATTTTCGCATTTTTTAGATAAAAGTCTATATTAAACCTCGAGAATTCCATTACATCTATAAAGTTTTAAGTCCACCAATGACAAATGGATAGAATCATTGATCATTGGCAGTTAGTCGCGGGTTTACGCCCAACAAATTGACTGGCCACGCGTGGCGTAGCGTGGGTGTCAACCGCCCGGGGCATAGGAAAATTTCGCCGTCCCCTTATTTAGGTATCTCAATTTAAAAGACTAAAGTTCAGTTTCGTCACAGAATAAGTAATGAAAAATTCCTGGCTAACGTTACCACCTTTTTAAAATCGCTAACCCGGACGGCAGGTGAGGTTTGTCCGAACAGAAGTTCCTGATGCATGCGTAATGTCATTTTGCAATGCGAAGAATAATGTGCAGTGCATGCCGGTTCTAAATCAGTTACAGTTAGGGACTAGGGACACTTGGGTGGGAGTAACTTAAGTAACCTAGATGACTTAGCTCTATTGGATATTGGAGGTGTATATGAATACGAATGAATCGTACAAACAATAAAAAAAAAATAAAAAATCGACAGGTTGCGCACGGTATCGTCGGGTAAAATTAATAGTTCATCCGGACGGCGAGTCGATTCCCGTACTGTCCGGATGGTAACACTATTCCCCGTGCTAATTTCAATCGGTCTGAATCGTAGATGCGTCGTAAATATGAAATAAAATGGTTCAAATTTTTACAAGATATTGTTATTATTTATTGTGAAATTTTGCCGCCCCCTAAAAAGTGCCACTACGCTACGCCACTGTGGCCACGTGGAGTTTTCTGGGTTTTTGTTTTTTTTGTAACTAACAACTAAATATAGACCAATTTTTCCCGTAGAAATTCCTCCCGGAAGGTATGTATTGCATTGCCTCATCCTCATGAATTCAATCCTATAACGGGCTGTCTATTAATTATCTCTTAAATAAGTCATTTCTCTTGAAATTTTTACTTCCTCTCTCCTTCTTGTTCCAGTTTGTCCAAGCTTCCATAACTCCTTTCCTCTTCGGTTTATTTGGTTATAGCAACGTGACACATGGGCGATCTGCCTCCATGGAGGTCTTTCATGGAAAACTGGCCCTTATTTAGGTGTTACTAACGTGAAGAAAACTCGGAAAACTCCACATAGCCAGCTCGTTGGTGAGGCGCGAACCACGAAGTGTTCAGTGTTCAGTGGTTTTATTCACTCAGCCACTGGTAGGCTCTCCTCTTCGGATGTGAAACAAAACTTAACCCCCCTTAAATCTTTTGTCACTCACTATGAATGATAGATACCATAAATAGAAACGAAATATACAAGAAATTTTGAAATAAATAAAATAAAATACACAAACTGCATAAATTTAATGAAATAAACGGACTTCCTCTGAAACTCAACCCGTTCTTTCCTCCTTGCCCGACTTTGTCAGATTTGTCGTAACCCCCTCCCTTAAAGCACTACATAGGCCTATTCACGAGCCTATACACGAGGGACTGTATACAATCAGCCGTTTTGTTTGCTCCGAAACTGCACCACCAGAATCCGTGCTAACAGTGGGTACACCAACAGCATACCCATCAATTCCGGGGTAAAGCAGGGCTGCCCTTTAAGCCCCCTGCTTTTTAACTTGGTCATCGAGACGGCCGTCAGGACCATCCAGGACCTCCAACTTGGTTACCCACTCGAGGGTGGCACATCGATATCCTGGCCTATGCCGACGACCTCGTCCTCGTTAGCACATCCGCTGAAGGCCTACAGAAGCAGCTAAACTATATTTCACGCTGGGCAGATTGGGCTGGGCTACGTTTCAACCCAGGCAAGTGTGCCACCCTCTCTGTTATAGGCAAACAGCACAACACAAGCGACGAAGTCTTCAAACTCCAGAACTCTGACATCCCACCCCTAAGGGCTGGAGGTACATACTCTTATCTGGGCATACCTACCGGGTTCTCTACCCATTGCACACCCGAGGACGTGATCACCAACTTAGAGGCGGACATCCAGCAGCTGGACGAGTCCAAACTCGCTCCATGGCAAAAAATCAATGCCATTAACACCATGCTGCTGCCCAAGCTAACTTTCCATCTTCTGCTTGGGGCCAACTCCAAAAACCGCCTACGTGTCCTAGACCGGCGCATCAAGAACTGCGCCAAAAAATGGCTTAATCTTCCCCAAAGGGCTAGCGCCGAGATAGTTAATCTGCCGTACGACCATGGAGGAGCTAACATCACTCCATGCGGCACTTTATCGGACATTTGCCAAATCACGCACAGCATGCATCTCTTCACGTCTAGAGACCCACGAGTACGCTCCATCGCACTGAACACTCTCCGAAGCGTCGTCAGAAAACGAATTCGACGGGAGCCCACCAACGAAGATTTATGTATCTACTTAAATGGGTCCATGGAGGGCGAGTTCGGCATCGATCCGGCGGACATCACATCAAACTGGACTCGCCTCCGCATGGCCACCCGTCGTCTTCGGAAAACTATGGACATATCCTGGAACACCATCGACGACACTGTTGCAATCACCACGGCAGGCAACCTCATTCCACGACAAGCCGTCTCAAAACTGCTGACCGGTATGGCCAAAAACAGCCTTTTAAACCGTCTACTGCGCAAACCAGATCAGGGGAAGGCATTTCAACTCACCGCCCAACACCCGGCCAGCAATCACTTCATCAAAGACGGGCTTTACACATCTTTTGCGGACTGGAGGTTCATCCACAGGGCACGGCTGAGTGTGGTGCCACTACACGGCCTCCGCCGCTTTGGGCAGCTCTCGACTAAATGTCGTCATTGTGGATTTCGGCAAGAAACTCTCGCTCATGTCCTCAATCATTGCGGCCGTAATCTCCATCTGGCCACTGAGCGCCACAATGCGATTTTGAATAGACTGCGTCGGGCAATAAACGACCGGGACCTAACTCTCTACTGTAACCAGCGAGTCCCAGACTACGACGACAACTGCCGCCCCGACCTTGTGGCCATCAACGATATCGCTAAGACGGCCACTATAGTGGACGTAGTGGTCCCTTTCGAAAATGGCCACAATGCCTTCAACGCTGCCAGAGCCAAAAAGATCGAAAAGTACTCACGTCTCGCACAACACTACCAAGCAAAAGGTTATGACACCTTTTGCGATGCATTCGTAATTGGCTCACTAGGCGCCTACGACCCGGGTAATGTCGCTGTGCTACAGCGCCTTGGTATCGGACGAAAATACTCGAAAACCATGGCAAAACTGATGGTCAGCGACAGCATCCGCTGGAGTCGTGAGATTTACATCCAGCACCTCAACTTTGGACGACACGCCCCCAACCATCATCAGCGTACCACAGCACATGTCAACCATCAGTACGGTCAACAAGGATCCACTGCTCCCCAGACCATCATAAGTCAATCACCCCATATTGGACAACGCAGTACGAACATCCACAACCTACATCGTCGCCGAAGGCCCGCAACATCACAATCAACTCGACAACTCCGTATGTATTAAACAACTAACTGTTGTAACTACCACGTGTGTCAGGCTAAGTGCCCGTGTCACGCGCACCATTTCTGTGTTTATCACTGTACCACTTGACAGGCTATGTGCCCATGTAGCTCGCGAACATGAACTTTGTATATACTGGCAGGCTCGAGCCCATGTCGCGCATCACATATGTATATATTGTAAAACTATTCCTCCTCTTATACCCCATGTACGTTATCAGGAATTTTAATAAAATCATTTAAATCTAATTTAGAGATACTCAGCACGTGCTTGTATCGACCAAGCAGGCTTTTTGGTTTATATTTTACTTTTCAAAAACAATATGATAGGTTGTTCTACACCAAACTGTTCTAACAGCAAACATAAAGTATATAGATTTTTTCGCTTTCCATANGGTAAAGTTATTTAAACCTGCTTTCTGATGTCAAAAACGACCTCCGGTAGGTTTTTAATTTTTTTAATTAATCGATTTTATTATATATAAATTTAATTAATTAGGGGGGTCGGAAATCGCAATTAAAATCTTAATTTTTTAAAAATATTTAAAAATATAGGCGTCGCTCACATTCACCCTACTTTAAACCCTTGTCCTCCGGAGACGTCTGAGAATGCCCTGGGAAATCCGACTCCAGCTGTTCTCAAGGTCATCCAGCTGTGTAAACAATGACTCATCGGTGTTAAATTTCGCATAAAGGCGAGACAAAGGAACTTAGAAGCTTTTTCTTCAAAATAAACGCATTTCTTTCGTTTTTTTTCAGTTTTAAGTATTTTTAATGTATTTTTTATGCTTAATTACATCATAATTAATGACAGGTGGTCGTTAAGGGGTTAAATTACATGTAATAGCTAAAGTAATACAGTAGAGCAGTGGTTCTCAACTTTTTTTGTTGATGTACTCCATTAGCCTATTACTGTAGTTATTTCTCAAGTACCCCATATATTTTTGTATGTAAATTTTATAATTACTGCATTAGATGTATACAGCCCTTATAACCCTTATAACTGAGTACAATGACAATATTGACAGTATGGGAAAAATCTTAATTGTGAGTCATATTATTAAAACCTAATAAAAATGAAACAATTTTCTAAAATTGGATTCTCATAATTCAAAAGTTTTCTTTGTGGGTTCAATAAGAAGTGTTTAAAAATAATTTTATGCACATCATAATAGGTTCTTTGAGAAAAGCCAATTTGAACAGCATAGGGCTAGTGGCAAAATAAAGTTGAAGCCAAATGTATTCCTACATTATTTGATGTAAGCCTACCTAATCTAGTAATCTTCCTAGAGTTCTAGAATGTAGAAGGAAGAATGTTTATGAAAGAATAACTTCGGCAACACGAACAAATAGTAAGAGTAAATAACTTTTTATTTGTACTTTAAAATATTACTTCCATTAATGTAACAACATTGTTATTCATCAATACCAATCTACATTGTAGGCTAAATCATACGTGTATATCGTTTCGTGTAATTTAATTCCTATTTTTTTCAATGTACAGTAGAGCCTCGATTATCCGACCTCCGATTAACCGACCGTCCTAGTCGGCAAATTTCAAATGCCCGCTAGTGATGTGGCGCTACAATATTTGGCTATGTCTTGGCTACTTTAATATTATTTTTACGTGTTTTAGCTGGCAACACTCATTCG